GGACCCTGTTAAGTTACCTCTTAGCACCAATTCTGAGGTTTTTTCCCCTGGGACTCATGCTTTATGTCCAGATCATCCTGGACGGTTACTGAGGAGACCCAGGCGCCTTCAAGCCAGTTCTTTTGGCACCAGAGGAAGATTCTGAATCTTCAAAATAGGCCATTTGAACTGGGGTTGTGGTTTTGCTCCGGCACTCAACCATTGAGGAAGAGGAAACCTGGTGAGGCTTCTCAGCTTCAAACCCCTTGGACCCAGGACTAATAGAGACTGTAAAGTGTGTTTTCCTTCACCCCTCTAGGGTTTTCCAGTTTATTGCATTGAAGAAATGACTTTGTGACAAATAAAACTTATTTTGAGTTATTTACATCGTTTTGGGTTCTTGGGAGTTCCAGTTTCCTAAAGGAGGGCAAGAAGCAATCCCTTGGGGGAAAGATGCCACGTCCATCCTCCTTTTAAGACTAATAGCCCCCAAGCGCGACGGCATAGTGCTAAGAGAAGATAAGAATTTGAAAAAGGAGGATAAAGAAGCGATAACAAACTTACTAACTATAGCAAGACTGCTTATAGCAAGGAATTGAAAAAAAGAAATGAATATACAAATAGAGGAGTGGTATAAAGAAGCATGGAAAATAGCAATAAATGATAAATTGACATGTATATTAAAGGTTAAAAAAGGTATATGGAAACAAAGCGATTTTGATGCTGTATGGGGAAGATTTGTGGTAAATGGATTAAAAAATAAGGAAGGAAAATTACCGTCACAAAAAGAAATGAAATTTTGGACAGATGAAATGTAAGAATGGTGGCTTGAGACGGGTGGAGGGGAGCACTGTGGTGAAAAAGGAAAAAAAAAGAGAAAAAGGGGGGAAATGTCAGAGCAAAACAACAAAACAACATGTTAAAGAGATTGATGTACATAATGTAATAGTATGTAATAAAGTGATAAATCAATAAAAAAAATAAAAAAAAATGTGGAGGTATATCAGATATTTACATTATGATTTCTAATAGTAGCAAAATTAAAGTTATGAAGTAGCAATGAAAATAATTTTATGGTTGGGGGTCACCACAACATGTGGAACTATATTAAGGGGTCATGGCATTAGGAAGGTTGAGAAACACTGACTTAGAGCAATAGCAAAAAAGTAGGGGAAAATATATTGTGGAAAATCCAGCATATTAAGCAAATTTCTTAACTTTTCACGTTGACATTTTTATAGAAGTACTAAAAGGTGGAAAATAATTTCTTTCCCTCCAAAAAAATCATAGAAAAACTCTTGCAGTCTCAGCAAGTTTATAGATATGATACAGTTTCAGGAGTCTAATGAAATAAATGAAGATAAATGTGGCTAGATCCCAAAAAGAATAATTATAAAACGTGGATATCAGATTTTGCTTATCTGCCTCTTTTTTTGTTCTGTACTACGCCTTTTGGGGAAGTGGTTCCCACCTTTTTTTTTTTTTTTTTGATCAGGAATGATTTGACCAAGGACCACTTTGACCAGGGACCACTCTTCAACATTAGTACCAAAAGGGTTACGAATCAGTTTTTGGTCAACTTTAGATTCACTCTGGTTATTTGGGGTGCTGATTCAGAAAATTGCTTTGGATAAACCACATGAGCTCTAGTTTCCGATACAGAATCCATGCCATCCAGTAGTCGCCATCTGCTTGCCCGTTTGTAATCATCTAGAACTGATGTGATAGTAGTAATCTTTTGTGGGTAGTCAGCCTCTCCCCTCCTGACATCCCCATTACCTCGGTACTATGGACTTCATCACACTAGAGAGAAAAATCCACTTAAAATCCAGCTTCAGCCTTCTGCAGAATTCTGGGGTTAGTAGTTTAGGGAGGGGCCTTTAACAGCCTAATTAAACTACAATCCCCAGAATTCTGCAGAAGGCAGAAACCAGATTTTAAATGGTATTTATATAGAGTTCATCTCTAGTGTGATGAACTCTTATAAGAAGTTTTTGTGAGACTAGTCACTCTCGTTGCTGTGTGGTTTTGAGGCAATGGTGTAGTAATGGTGAGGCCATGGACCATATTTTCGTTCTTGCGGACCACAGATTGGGAACCACCATCTTAGGGCAAGGACTGTCTTGTTTCTTATTGCTGTTACATGTCAAAGATTCTGGAATCCTTTTCCCCCACAAAGGAAGGGGTAAAATGCTTCAAAATAAATAAAATTTCCTGTGTCTACAAACTGTTAGATCAGGGATCCACAAACTTTTTAAGCAGAGGGCCAGGTCACAGTCCCTCAAACTGTTGGAGGGCCGGATTATAATTTGAAAAAAGCAGGAATGAATTCCTATGCACACTTAAAAACAATACAATAATTAAAATGAAGTACAATTTTAACAAGTATAAGTATGGGCCTGCTTTTGGGCGATGAGATGGGATTGTTGTTGTTTTTATTGTGTGTTTTCAAATCGTTTCAGACTTAGGTTGACCCTGAGCGAGGGCCAGGTAAATGACCTTGGAGGGCCGTATCCGGCCCCCGGGCCTTAGTTTGAGGACCCCTGTGCTAGGGGTTGGTACCATAATTATTTTTTCTTGCTTCAGGGATAGGGGTCCTCTTTTTTTGTTGTACAGTGGTATTGTCGCAGAGAATGCACTCACCTGCCAGTGAGGGATGTTTCCACATCTGAGGCTATGTCTCCTTTTTTTGTGCTCTGACCTGCCTTCAGATAGATTGTGCAATGCTTTAGCCACCCCAAACACAGCTTTGCAGATACTATAGCTCAGAGGGATCATGTTAACCTCAAAGTGGGATACATCCAGCTTCTCTTCTCCAGTACACGACTTAGCTCCAAATATCCTAAACTGTGAATAGGGAGGAGGCAAGTTGCAATTAAATTCTTGACTCCAGAAATTCTTAATGAAAATGTCGTTGGGATATTTATTCGGAGTCACAGACTGCAGAAAAAACTGGAATCCTGGAATCTCTTTCTTTTGAGAGCCAAAGGACAAAGCACCAGGGAACGGTTTTGTATCGATAGACATATCATTTTCCCATTTAGACATGGTTAGCCACACTTTTCCTGCCAATATGATGTGAGAATGTTTGTGTATGATGGTGAGGAATTTGCTGTCGCCATAGACAAAGACAACTTTGCTTGAGGACTTCCTCAACTCTTTTTCTCTCTGCATCAATTCTATTAGAAATTTAAACTGGTCCCGGAACAAAATTACGTATTCATGACAGACCCCACTCTTCTGCATTTCATCTTCCAGATTATGGATAAAGTTTTCACTTCTGCCATATATAGCAACCATAAGTCCAATCCAAGTCCAACCAAAGTGGAGAAGCAATTGAATGACACCTTCAAGCTGAAGATCATCACTTGGATATATCTGATACATGGAGGGGAATTTGATTCGATCACCTAAGACAGGGTCAGAGGAGCCATAACTGATCTGTGAAAACACAGAGTTCTCAGATACTTTAACAAAATTACTATAACAAGAATTCCGCAAGAGAGCCAGTTGTGGTTAGGTTTTAGGCCAGGAGGTGGAGTACAATAGTCTCCATTGAACCATGTATCTTGGATCAGTCACACACTCTCCGTCTGATGTGCTTCACAGAGTTGTTTTCAGAATAATAGTAAAGGAAGGCGACTCATGGCTACCATACAGGAGCATCAAAGGAAAGGTGAGATATAAATGTAACTAATAATAATAATAATAATAACAAAACAATAATAATATACTTTATTTATATTTTGCTTTATCTCCCTGAGGGGATTCAGAGCGAATTACAGAATATACATGGCAAATATGCAATGTCGTTATACAAGTAACAAAGACAGACAGTACATAGGCAGAGGCAAGGCTTCCCTCTTTTTCATCTCAGCATCTGGAGGCTGTGCTCGACTTTGCCATGGAGATGTGCTATTGTTCCATTTTTCCATGCCAAGGAGCCTGTTGTCCATGGACGCCTTCCTGATCGAATTGCCGGCATGTTTTTAGGGGCGCCTTTTACCTCCCCACCAAAGAGATACCTGTTTATCTACTCATATTGCTGGTTTTGAATAACTCGGAAAGCAGAAGATGGGGCTGGCAGCGGGAGCCCCAACCCATGGCTTGAACTGCCAACCTTCCAGTCAGCAATATTTTCTGTAGCTGGTGGTTTAACCCGTTGTGCTAAGCTCTTAATAAGTGCATTCAGAGTAATTGCAGCTCACGGGATTTCCAGAACTTGCTCCAAAAGTCTGAGATTTTACAAGCGACAATAGATTAGAAAGCTATACCTATAGTTTTTGCATAAGGAAGTAATTGTAAGACCTTGTGAAACAGAGAGAAATTTTCATCACACTAGAGTTGAAAAATCTACTTACCCCTATTTTGTATTTTCAGCAGCTGTGTGGAGCATTTATTTACCTATCACGATACCGCTATAAATAGCACTAAAAAAACTACCAACAATACAATGCTTAGGTAATAAAAATAAAGCAATTCAAAATACACAAATAAAAGTCATCAGATACTACCCACCAGTAAAAAGTTTGTTTTAAAAGCCACAAACTTTACTGAATTGAAATACCTTAGCTGGTCCAAAGAAACAAAAGACATAGTTATTTTCTTTTTTTGTGGTAGGAAATCCAAGAACCCAGAAGCTATTCCAAAAAGGCCTTCTGCAGTGTAATCATCTAAGGGCCATATAACCCAGAATATCAAGGCAGATAATCCACAATATCTTCTTTGAACTGAATTATCTGAGTCCACACTGCCAGTATTTTCTGTTGGTCATGGGAGTTCTGTGTATCAAGATTGGTTCAATTTCATCATTGATGAAATTTGGAAAGCTCTTTGATTGTAGGTTAACTATAAATCCCAGCTACAGCTCCCAATGACAAAATCAATCCCTCCCCCCAACCCTACCAGTATTCAAATTTGGGTGTATTGGGTACTAGAAATACATCCTGCATATCAGATATTTACATTACGATTCATAACAGTGCCAAATTTAAGTTATGAAGTAGCAATGAAAATAATGTTATGGTTGGGGGTCACCACAACATGAGGAGCTGTATTAAGGAGTCGCTGCATATAGAAATTAGGCAAATAGCTTGGAACAAAATTGCTTAGGGATATATGGCAGAGCAAAAGTGGGCCATATGTATGCTTTCCGATGTGGGACTGCAACTTCCACTCTCAATCAACAATATCTGGAATCCTATGGGTTGCCCATCTTTGGCATAAAGAGATGCCTTTAAAAGTATCTCCATGAAAGTCCACTTGGAATCATTTAAACAGAGATTTACATTTACTGAACTCTTACCTGTGGTAACTTGTAGACCTCCAGCATGTTGGCTATCTGCACAGATGACTCTGATGTCAGCCCCCCAATGACAGCCACCATCTTCTTGTGGCCTTGGCAATTGTAGTTGGGAAATATTGTGACCTTCTCTGCATCCTCTGTGCCCATCATGTTATAAGATGGCTGCCCATAACCATAGTAGGACTCATATCCATAGAGAGGAGGAGGAATCAGTGTGAGCTTGTCCCTTTCAGACAGAAGGCTAATGACATTCTCATAGGTTTGGCCTCCATAGTAATAGTTGTCATAGAGCCGGAATCCCAGTGAAATGTTGGGTAAGAAATGGGGATCCTTGTTGATTTTCTCCACAGCAAATACAAGTGCCAAGACTTGCTGGTAGTTCTTTGACATTAGTCTGTTGGGAGAACAGCAAAACATTTCTGCAATGAAAAACTACCCAGTACAACACACAGTGAAAATGCTTTAGTCAGAACAGTTCCCGGTCATTCCACCACTTGGATCAAAAGATGAAATAGTACTGGGTTGCTGCCAGTTTTCCAGGCTGTATGGCCATGTTGCAGAAGCATTCTCTCCTGATGTTTCATCCACATCTATGGCAGGCACCCTCAGAGGTTGTGAGGTCTGTTGGAAACTAGGCAAGTAAGATTTATATATCTGTGGAATGTCCAGTGTGGGAGAAAGAACTCTTGTCTGTCTGAGCTAGGTGTGAAGGTTTCAATTGGCCATCTTGATCAGAGTTTCTCAACGTGGGGGGTCGGGACCCCTGGTGGGGTTGCAAATGAGTGTCAGAGGGGTCACCAAAAACCATCAGAAAACACAGTATTTTCTGTTGGTCATGGGGGTTCTGTGTGGGAAGTTTGGCCCAATTCTATCATTGGTGGGGTTCAGAATGCTCTTTGATTGTAGGTGAACTATAAATCCCAGCAACTACAACTCCCAAATGTCAAGGTCTGTTTTACCAAATTCCACTGATTTGGGCATATTGTGGATTTGTGCCAAGTTTGGTCCGGATCCATCATTGTTTGAATCTACAGTGCTCTCTGGATGTAGATGAACTACAGCTCCAAAACTCACCACCACCAGACCATTCCAGTGTTTTCTGTTGGTCATGGGAGTTCTGTGTGCCAAGTTTGGTTCAATTCCATCATTGGTGGAGTTCAGAATGCTCTTTGATTGTAGGTGAACTATAAATCCCAGCAACTACAACTCCCAAATGACAAAATCAATCCCCCCCACCCCACCAGTATTCAAATTTGGGTGTATTGGGTATTTGTGAAAATACACTGCTTAGCCGGTATTGCACCACCTGACATCTGCCGGGAAGTAGCAGCCAATAGTGAAAGGACCAAGGCAGAGACATCTCCAGCTCATCCCCTGTTTGGGTATCAGCCAGCACGTCAACGACTTAAATCAAGACATAGTTTTCTAAGATCTACAGAGACACTCGCTGGAACACCCCAGCAAGCGAGAGTCCAAAAGTGGCAGGCCCAAACCCAGCACCTCAATTCATGGGTGATACCAGATGAGAGACTCCCCCCTGGGCACACAGAAGACTGGGCGACTTGGAAGGCGCTGAACAGACTGCGCTCTGGCACCACGAGATGCAGAGCCAATCTTAAGAAATGGGGCTACAACGTGGAATCCACGACATGCGAGTGGAGAAGAGCAAACCACTGACCACCTGCTGCAATGCAACCCTGAGCCCTGCCACATGCACAATGGAGGACCTTATTGCGGCAACACCAGAGGCACTCCAAGTGGCCAGCTACTGGTCAAAGGACATTTAACCAACTACCAAGTTTGCAAAATCTGTGGGTTTTTTTTAAATCTGTGTGTTTGTTTTGTTCTGTTAGAATTGTAATACAATGGTTGCTGATGACACGATAAATAAATAAGTTGTGAAGTAGCAACAAAAATAATTTTATGGTTGAGGGTCACCACAACATAAGGAGCTGTATTAAGGGGTCGCGGCATTAGGAAGTTTGAGAAACACTTCTAGTAGTTCTTCACATAGTTCCCAAGCACTCCAGTAACATTTCCAGAATGCAAATTGGAGGCTGGTCCTACACTTTTAATGGCAGTATTGGATACTGAATTTTCAAAGGAGAAGCAGCCATTAAGATGCAACACATGCTGAAATTGTTGTTTCTACCAGATTCATTTTGGCTGCCCTACACCTCTCTTTGTATCCAGGGTTGTTAGTCGGTTTCAATCATCCATAGCCTGGACAAAGAAAACCTTAAGAACAAATCTAATCCTATGCACATTTTCTAGTTTGAACAACCTGCTGTCAACAGGCACCATCCCATCTCTCTTTATCCTCCCATTTTATGTACAGAAGAAACAAAATACTTACAATGTTTTAACCGTGTTAGGCGAAATTTTCTTAGGATGATCTTTATAATTACTTCTTGGAATAATTTGCTGAGACAGTGATAGCACTCCTCCAAGAATAAGATCCCCATCTTGGTAGTAACCTTCTGCATAGGATCTCTCCAGATGACAAAGAGATGTTGCCTCCTTACCTGCCACATGAGGTAGAAGCAATATGATGAAAACCAGGAAGAGCATGGCAGGAGCATCTCCCAATGATGACAGTTCAGGTATCATCTTCTATTCAGATGAATTCTCATTTTCAATGTTGTGGAAGTCTGAAGAAAAGAAATGAACCAGAGTACTTGTACTTTGAGACCTATCTAATTAACCAAAGTACTTCCCCCAAGTCCTTAAATGGAACTCAGATCGGAGAACACCTATGCACCTAAAGGATGTCCTAACTGCTCTGTTTTCCTGCTTATTTTTCAGGTGGTTGCACAACATTGCCCCAAGCACATGGACAAAGAATAATAATAATGATTGCACTGGTCCCCTGGCAGATGTTGATTTCAGAGGTTTTGTTCTGAACTTTTCTCTCCCAGGGGTTATTGACATGGACAAACATGTGGGTGTTTGTCCATGGATTTGCCCATCTGCAAGAAGTAAATGCATGCTGTGTGATTCCTGAATCCCTCTGTCTCCTTATGACTCTAAGGGACCAGGCATCCATTCATTTTTGATGTTGAGTCTGGTCCTTGTCATTGTTTCTGTTACACCTCAGCAGGAATTCACCTTGCTCACAGCACTCGCCAGGAAACCAGATGTGGTAATAAACAGTTTATTGATAAAACTCATATAAGAAGGGGCCAGAGGCACCTTAATCAAATAACAGGGTAAAAATCAAAGTGTTAATAAAGATAGCAAGTCCCAAAAGCAATACGTAAATCCAAAAAACAAGATTGACAGAAGCTAGTATTTGTTACAGTAAAGTTGTAGCAGGACCAAGTGTGTGAGTGTGTTGAAGGAAAGCCTTATGATGGTAATTCTTATGTGCAGCTGGTAATGTAGGTCAACCAGCAATCTTGGACCACACCCGATAGGGTATAACTGTATGGGTTTTTAGAATACAGTTTTGGAGAGCTTTTTCTCTGAGGAGATCTATGGTCAAAGCTTTGCTCTGGGGAGCAACATGGAGAAGCTACTCTGAAGGAGGCTATGGTGGAATAGCTATTTACTCAAGATTTATTTTTGCTCTCTCATTTGATTTAAGATGAAGATGACTTTTTGTGTTACTTACAATGACTATGTAAGTTTCTTGCACTGATTGATTTTTATATGCAACATTATAAGTTTATGTTTCAACTCTGCTGAGTAAAGATTTTTCTGATCATTTTTACTGTCTGCGAGTCAAGTGCATGGGACGTGTCTAAGATTCACTTGCTGTGCAACAAAACATAAACATTAATCTAGGAAACAAGGAAGAAAACAAGAGCATAGGTAAATCCATAAAGCCAGAAGCAAAACTAGACCAGAAATCTTGGGCCTTGAGCTAAAGAATCAGTGAGGAACAAGACAGGAGTTTCTTGCTCCAGTAGCGACAATGTTGCTTGATCTAAACTCCCAACAGCCCTCTCCCTAATTTAAGGGCTGCAAAACACGAACACATTCCTTTGACCTTGAGAGACCAGCTTCTGCCTCTCTTTCCCATGGTTTTTCTTGCACCTGAATTTCTGCCCCCTCAGAAGCAGCCTGGTATCTCTGTCTAATGCTATCCTCTCCTTAGCCACAGCATCTTGTTCCAAAACCCGCTCTGTTTTTTCATCTGGAGAACCATCTCGCTTTAAGACCCCCTCTGTCTGGGCACCCATAGAATCCTTGCTCTCTATTGTTTACACCCACAGAACCATCAGGCCCTGCACCACCAAATCTCTCATCTTCATCAGCAGGCTGAACCACAATAGTTTCCAATGTTTTTTTGTTTTGTTTTTAAATGAGTGATACTTTATTTTGTCTCCTTGATGGAAGTGGATTAAGATTGAATAGTAAATATACAGAATTCCCCAAGTTACAGACAAAATAGGTTCTATAGGTTTATTCTTACATTTAATTTGTATGCAAGCCAGAATAGGTACATTTTAAGTGTACCTTCAGACTTTTTAAAAATTGGATAGCATAGGGAAGGGTTAACACCTTTGAACATTTATTTTGCTGCCTGTGATTTATAAAATGTTGATTTACTATGGACACAAGAATTGGTGATAAAGCTTCAAGGGAAACACCCTTTCCCCATGATTACTCTTTCAGGAGTGAATTCNGTATCTGGTTGTGATCCCCAGGTTGTGCCAGTCAGCTTTCGTATGATATTGTTTCTAGCACCCACTTTTTGGATTGGGGTGAATAATAGTATTCACTAGGCCTGGGCAATGCATGGTTCTAAATGATTCTAAATACTTACAAAACTAAAGTTCTGGTGGTGAAAATTTCAGAACTCTAACAAAACTCTCAAAATTTTATTATAAATGACAATTCCTAATTGGTTCTGTCATTAAAAAATCACCAATAATGAAATAATAATTAAATTTTGAAAGTTTTGTTAGAGTTCTGAAATTTTCACCACCAGAACTTTAGCTTTGTAAGTACTTTAGAACCATTTAGAACCACGGATTGTTCCAAGTGTCTTTATCACACTTCTTCCATGTTGGACTCTTTAAGTTTCATGCCTTTTGTTTTGGGACCCTCTCTTTGCAGTTGGGGTCCAGACGATGACGGCAAAACCGTGGACGGGCCTCACCAGCTTGGAAAGGTATCGGTGATCTTGCCTCCATATTTAACCCGAAAAACCAATAATGTTCAGCATAGGCCCTCCAGGTGTTTTGGACTCCAGCTCCCACAATTCCTAACAGCCTACCGGCCCAACTGCTTGACATGACAGTTTCCCCGACAACAGATCTACCCAAAACATTCCCATCCTCGAGAAAAACACTTTCGTTTTCCTGCACAGAAACACCAGGCTCAACCAGAAAGTCCCTGTCCTCATCCTCAGAGGCTTCACAGGCCTCAACACTAGTTGAGCA